GAAATATTTTTGGGAAAACTGTAAAACTACAGCGCTCCAACACTATCGACGATAAATTGAAATCCCGTAAACACAGCGCCCAACGCAAATTCAACATGAAATCGGCAATCTTTATGTACAGTAGTACGTGTATGAAAAGGTAGAATCTTTCTCCAAGCTCTACTGGCGTTCTGTGCGCGTCTCTTTTACCCACAACAGATCCTGCATATGCGGAAGCTAACGTCCTTTTAAGCGACGCCCATTTTCCTGAAAAGTTCCGCTCTAACATCAAACCACCTCGCAACCGCCACTTGCGCTGGAGTTCCTGCCCAGAATCCCTCTTCGCGGTGGCTCGTCTTTCACAGGCAGCTGCGATAATGCCGGTTGGTTTGCTCTCGTTCGTATTTACTCTTTCGTGTTTATCTTCTTCTCGGTTTATTCGAATATCGAATATTTATCTTCTTCTCGGTTTACTCGAATATCGAATATTTATCTCTTCTCAAAAGTTTACTTCTGAATACGCGTCAGAGCGCGCACCACATTATCAGCAAATCTTTGCGTTGCTTGATTTCCTGTTTTTTTTTTCTATTTAATTGCAGAATGATGTCAGGTACCGCGCGTAACGAAGCTTAGTTATTGGCTCGAGTCCACTGATGAAACCTTATGGCCTTCTCGCCTTGTCGTTATTCTCTTTTCTGAAAACCATGTCGGAGCATAGGAATGAGCAAACAGGGAGAGCCCTCGTACAGGATGTAGGCTTCTCGCATTGTTTTCGCGCTTACTTATACATAAACTTATAAAGTTTCTTCCTCTTCGGGGAGGGGAGGAAGAAACTTTATAAGTTTATGTATAGCGGGGGGGTCGTAGCGACGCCCCAAATAGGGTGGGGGGTCGCTACAGCTCCACACAAAAAATCCCCAACCTAATGATTGTGCCCTTTATCCTTATTAGCTGCGTGAATTGAGTAAGAAATAATATGTGACACAAGACTGATGGAAACGATATGATATGGTATCCCTTGGCGAGGGAAAAAAAGAAGAAAACGAGCCTGCGTCGCGCCGAACCCAGCCACGCTGACGTCGCGCCGAACCCAGCCACGCTGACGCACACATCGTCATCCACAGCGAACGAGCCTATAGGTAAGCTCTAGCACCTGTCTTTCATCAACGCATTGCCACTCCCTCGTGAGAAGCTCTCGTTGAAAACTCCAATGTGCCGAAAATGTGGGAGTAGTCGCCCTGTCCCTTACGCAAAGTTCGGGGTCGAGTGAGAAAAAAAAACAGCAGCAAACGACAATGATCCTCGACTTTTGTTTTATGCAGAGATATGTTGTAGTTATTGTATATGTTATTGTCATATGTATTGTATATGTTTTTTTGCAGAGATATGTTATGTGATTTGTTATGTTTGTTATGTTATACTGATATTTAGAGATGTTCTCTTGCTTTTATTGGAATCTAGTATACACAAACTGGCGAATCGACTGTGACTGCGCTACGATCACACATCACTTACGATGGAAAGCAGACTGGGAAACTGAACCTTAGCTCGAACCGTCAACAGTACTAGTCACACGGAAAAGTAGCGGTTGTAAATTTTGACATTTACATTGATGTTGCCGTTCCGTTGAAGTCCAAATATGTGACAGCAGAAGTGTTGAATCAAGCCCGACACATGAAACTGAAATGCAGAAATTTTCATGCTTCAAGGAAAGGGTGTGATATGTGCGCAAAACAATGTTCGCGTGTAAGGGACTTTTTTTTGTGAAGTAGCTACTCGTGAAATAGTGCTATGCGCGGTACCTCACCCGAAATTCGAGTGAACGCATAGAGTGTACTGCACAAAGCTGGGACGATTGTGATATGTGGACCAAAGTAAGTCCTACGAGTTAGTTCGTATCGCGTCGAGTACATTACCGGGTCCACGAGTAAGTTTTCTAATAGGGTGAAGGAGGGAAAGTAATGTGCGCTTCTTTGAGAGTAGCAGAGGGTTGCCCAATATATCTACTTTATATAATTTGCTACGTCTGTCTGTCTGTCCGGAAATTGATACCACTATCGTCCTGATTGATAATGCGATGCAATTCATTTTCATTTAAGCGTTGACTAAAGGCGTTTCGATGCAGGTGAACGGGATTTCTTCATCCACTGAGCGATTCATATTGGCCGACTGTACGTACTTTCTATCTATGTCTACAGGTCCATGTGTTGTGTGGGCGTTATGGCCCAAAGCACAACCCCCAAATATATACGTGTACTCAGAAGTGCAGCATCCGCAGAATTACTCTGTCTATTACGATTCGTTCATTACAAGGCAATATGAGCAGCTCAGTGAGTGAACAACTTCCGCTTTCATTATGAAGCGCGCCTGGCGAAGTCAGGCCAGCTGAAGAGAAGGAGCACGGCCTTAGCCGGGCGATCCGACTGGTTTTGAAATAAGTGTTCACGAACATCATTGTGAATCATATAGTGCTTTAACATGACAGTAATAACATG